TATTACTGGTATTTGATGCTTTATATTTCATCACCACTGCAATGCTTACATGAAGCAAGCCCTTTTGAAATTATTGAATTTCTGAATAAGTGTACGATTGGCCCTTCACATTTGAACTTTTGTGGCTTTTGTGATCATTCCTAGAATTAATTAATTAATATCTCCTTCCTAGGAATCTCTAGGTCCTCCCAGGTGACTCTATGGTCAATTTTGACAGAAATTGACCATAGAAATACGCTGGAGGACCTAGACTCCTAGAGGGAACATTTCTATAGAAATTTCCAAGTCTTCCAGCATGTTTCTGTGATCAACTTACAGCAGGTAGCCACAGAGGTGCTCTGGCGGACCAAGAGATCCCTAGAGAGGTGTTCTTTCAGGTAAAAATATGACTTTATTTTATGGGGGTTAGGAGTGCAGGACCCTTACAAAAATGGGATTTTTTTCAAGTTTTCCTATTTTCACTAGGGTCCTGCACCCCTAACCCCCATAAAATGGAGGACCAATTGCATTTGAGATCAGGACACATTACAAAACAAGGGTGATAGTCTCCAAGGCTTTTGGAGACAATCAGTCTTAAATGGAGGTATTTAGTAAGATTGATAGTTTTAAGATTTTTAATGCTTTTATTCCAGCAAAAGCATCTATTTTTGATGTTTATGTTATGTTCCTATGTTTTCAGTAATTGCAGTGATTCTATTTTAAGTTATGTTTATTTGACCAATGTACTATTGGTTTTTTTGTTTTTGTTTGTTTTTGCTATTGTTTTAACTGTTACTTGCTGTAAGCCAACCTGAGTCCCTTCCGGGAGAGTGGGGCGGGATATAAATAAAATGTATTATTATTATTATTATTATTATTATTATTATTATTATTATTTGTATCAGAAGTGACTTGAGAAACCGTAATATATTATTATTATTATTATTATTATTATTATTATTATTATTATTATTACACAAGCAACAATACCAGCTTCAGCAAGTGAAGAACCAATTTAAATCAGCTAAAATCATAACAACTAGGTGACCATATGTTCAGTAGCCCCTTTAATGCCTGATAACAATATCAGCTTACCTATATTTTTGCTTGATAAAACTAAATCAGCAAATGATCAAGATCTTTATGTTATTTTCAAATATATCCTATAAGCATCACAATGAATTCCCAAATTAGATTTCAATACTGTGAAGGTTGCCTAAAGAGCAAACAGTTTGCTGACATTATCATTTAATGAAAGTGCTCCTTTAAATACATTTCTACATATGGCACAGGCACATGACCCAAGATAAACATATTGTGGGAAAGGAGCAGATGAATGACATGTATTCCACCAACGGCTGCACCAGAACAAGGACAAATCATGTTTGCACAGTTGATCAGTGTCTACAAAAACGTTCTGCTTGGTCAATATGAACTGCACTCCATGAACCTCTTCTGCCAGAGAAGAAGTTCCACAGATTTCTGAAAAGTTACCCATGAAATAATGGTTTTATAAGACAAAGCAAAAATACATCCGTAAGAATTCAACATTGAAAGTGAAACTGGAAGAAGCTTTCAGTGACTTATATTATTGTTAATGTGAAACATTCACAAAGGCAGGAGCAAGTTATTGTAAAGTGAATTTCTTGGTCAAGTATTTAGATTCTGATTACAAGTTATTTCTTAATTACATTTTTTCTATGCAACATTGCACCAACTCTATAGAATTGACAGCACCGAACACTAGTGTGAAATGCAGTATTGAACCTATTGTTAAGAGCACTGCTGATTCAGCAGACGTTAAATTCAGATACACATTTCAGGATTTGAAAAGCTTGAACCAGATGCAAGAATCATAGTATTGGAAGAGACCTCATGGGCCATCCAGTCCAACCCCCTGCCAAGAAGCAGGAATATTGCATTCAGATTAAAGATTATTAACTTTACTCTTAATGATATGTAGGATTTCGTCAGGCAACAGAACTGAACCATTAAAATAGGACTTGTACAAAAATATTTAGCAAAGTATGCATTCCAATATTCCCTCCATCAAGGTTTTCATGAGGTTTATTGTATATCTGCCTAACATATAGGCAAATCTATAGGCATACACCTTTATAAATATACATAATTCTTAGGTAAAAGAGATAGGCATTTTTTTCTAGTGTGACTAAAGTTGCTTTTCTCCCTACCCTTAAAGGTCCAGCTGATAAGTCTGTCAGCTTTGATGTTCTGATATTGATAAACCTCTGTTTACCAACAATTGCGATTTCCATTCTGTGGAAAGATACATTTTAAAAGCATGATTCTTCTCAGAACGTAATGCCAATTTTTAATGTTACATTGGTTCAAATGGGTACTCAGAGTAACTCAATTATCACTATATGCAAGACTGAATTGATCCAAGTGTAATTCAAGCATACTGCATCTACAATGCGAATGAAATTGAATTTGCTTTTAGAAAAGTCATGTAAACTTGATTGGGTATTTAATTCTTCAACTCTCTCTCCCTAGGTCAGCAAACATTCTGGACACTGATCCATTTTGGATAGCCATTTTCTCCAACAGTCAGTAGGACCTTTCTAACAAACCACAGGTGATCACACTTTATCGGCACTGGTTTTCAACGTCTTGCTTTTTGGCCATTTTAAATTACTATATAGTACAATATATTCAACACATGGTCCCCTATTTAGACCATGTATCAAAAATGGGTTCTCACTATGTATAATATGGTGGCGCAGATTAAACCGCTGAGCTGCGGAACTTGCTGACCAAAAGGTTGGCAGTTCAATCCAAGGAATGGGGTGAGCTCCCGCTGTTAGGTTCAGCTTCTGCCAACCTAGCAGTTCAAAAACATGGAAATGTGAGATTAATAGGTACCACTTTGGAGGGAAGGTTATGGCGCTCCATGCAGTCATGCTGGTCACATGAGCTTGGAGGTGTCTATGGACAACGCCAGCTCTTTGGCTTAGAAACGGAGATGAGCACCCCCCCCCGAGTCAGACATGACTAGATTTAATGTCAGGGGAAACTTATCTTTATGTAGGATATAAAAGGATTGAAAGAACGGTTCAGTGGCTGCATCTACTATAGTACAGACTGAATGAAAATATGGTTTGTTTGCTTTTTGGAACCACATATTTTCCCCAACTCAACACCATCTTCTCTTTAGTCTGCATATAGACAGTATAATAAAACTTGCAGCCACTTATTTGTTCTCCTCTGATGCCAGGGAGGATGGCTGAGAGAGTTATTTGCCTACATCCAGAAGTACTCAGGAAAGTTTGGAAACAGCTTTAAAGGAGAAAGCTGAGTGTCACAGCTTGGTCTACTGAGTGACGTTCTTGCTCAAAACAGTGCATTGTTTGCAAAGGAAGGCACTACCTTGTTTACATGCTCATCCAGAGGGTGGGAAATAGTGGAAAGAGAATAAAGAAGCACTCAAGAGTTTCGAATGCAAAACAGACCTGCTGCTCACCTGTAGTAAAGAGCTTTTGTCAAGAAAGCTTCTTGGCATCCCATTTTCAGAGGTAGGGAGAGAGGCTGAAGGCTGCTTGTGCCTTGCAAATGTGGTAAGCCATTTTGAGCAATGCAGCAAGAAAGCCCACCTAGTCAGCTACTTGCAGTTTGGCACCAACATCATCGGATGAATGAAAGGTGGAGGAGGTGGCCAAACAGATACCTTTTTTTCCAATCAAGCCTTTCACCTCAATAATACCACCTCCAGAATCAAGAGAAACAAATACATTGCCTGTCCTACACAGTGCTTTCTCCCTCACACTGCTTTCCTTATTCTATTTCCCCTCCTGTATGCTCCTCTGCAGAGTGAGGTGGGACGCTCCACGTGGTCCTTTGAAGTTGGTTCCAAACTTTCCCTAATGCTTCTAGGTGTGGCCACATAAGGTGCTGCCTGCTTATTTGACAATTTCTGCTTTTTTAAACCATTTCCACCTCTTGACAGTGTCTAGGTACCTGTGTGAAATTTGAACAGCTTTGCTAAGAAGGATAAACTGAAAGAAATTTACAACTTTAAAAAAATATTTCATATCAGAAATGTTAATACTTGCTAGTGATGAAGCATTCAAGAAAAGCAGCATACTCAAAAGTTGCTGCTTATTACATCAATCTATTTTTTAAAATTCCCAAGCAAGAGAGCTGAGACAGTAGCTTTATAATAGTTCCAATGAAACTGATCAATTTTAGATTGCCTTCCTAATGAGCAATAGTTCAATACTATAAGCAGAGTCCCCGGTGGCGCAGTGGGTTAAACCGCTGAGTTGCTGAACTTGCTGACTGAAAGGTCGGCCATTCAAATCCAGGGAGTGTGGTGAGCTCCCATTGATAGGCCCAGCTTCTTCCAACCTAGCAGTTAGAAAACATGCAAATGTGAGTAGATCAATAGGTACTGCTTTCGCAGGAAGGTAATGGTGCTCCATGCTGGCCACATGACCTTGGAGGTGTCTACAGACAATGCTGGCTCTTGGGCGTAGAAATGGAGATGAGCCCCCCAGAGTTGAACGCGACTAGACTTAAAGGAACCCTTTACCTTTACCTATAAGCAGAGTCAGCAAGGAATTTTTCATAATATCTAGGTAAAAGAGAACATTTAACAAACTTCTGCAGCAAGGCAGCACAGTAACTATTTGCATTCAGTAGCTTATAACACTCCATCTACCTTCTAATACAGAGCTTCAGTGAAACAGCACATTTAAATAAAACTCAGATGTTGTTTCCTATCAGAAACTAGGAGGCCACAAGTTTCCAAAGAGCAAAGGCTTTATTTAAACATAGGCATACAGTTTGGCACTTTTGCATAACCACTTGAATAGTGCCACCTCTCCCATCCCATTCTGCTTCAAGCCCTCCCATCTCACCCTGTTGGAGGCCGCTGCAGTGACGTGTCCACCTGAGTTTCCAGAGTGTGGCATTAACTCCTCAGCTGCCATGGCCCCTGGAGACAAAGTTCTGTAGTGCACTGACTTCTATCATAATCAGAGTCCGAGTGTCACAGAACTTTGCTTCCAGAGACCAAATCTACTTTTTCTTCAACCAATGTCATCAATCGAATGGCCTTTTCCTCTTGCCAACTAAAAACCAAAAAAGAACAAGAGAGACAGTTAAGATCCCAAGAAAGTCACCCACAGAGATAACACAAGGGGTGACACAAAGTTCAATAAGTTCTCACTCCCAGATATGCGCATTCCGATTCTGGATCCCTAAGTAAAACAATTATTTGTGAGCAATATTTCTAACTATGAGCACTGGTCTATTCAGGGACTCTCACGCTTGGTGCCATAGCAGATGGGTTTAAAAAATTGAAAAACCCACAGTTCATATTGGCAGCTTGTTTCTACTTTTTCCCACCAACCAGAAGTAGGCGAATAAAGAAGATCAGACAGAAATATATCTGTAATGTACATTCCCACATATGTTTTAGACATAACTCCAGCTGCACAGTAAGGGATGCAGCAAAGCACTCTCGTTGAAGGCCACGTCTACACACCAGGCATGGAAAATACACCCACTACGTATCGGAGCTAACCGATCCCTGTAGGAACAAAAGCTCTTCCCACACCCTGAGCCCCCTGTTCACCAGGGGGGCTGGAAAGACATGAACTGCTGCATGCCACGTTTTGTCACCTTGGCAAGAGGGAGGGAGCCCACCTGTCTGTTCCATGCATGAAACTGAGGTTGCCCAAGAGCCCATAGAAGTAAGGAGTGGCCACCTAAGGCAACCCCCCCTTATCCCACAGTCATCCAAGATGCATGGGGAGTCCTGCCCACCAGAAGGACTAGAAACAAGATAGAAGGATTGTGTCCCCTTTCCAAGGGAGAGTGAGCCCATCTATCTCTTCCACACATGAATCTAGAGTTGCCCATGAAACCACTGCAATCACAAGTGGCTACATAAAGCAAAGCAATCTCTAATGCAATCCCCTATCCCTAAGATTTCCAAGCCTATATGAGGAACCCTGCTCACCAAAAAGGTCTCAAAACAAGACAAGGAACTACTGCATGCCAGCCAAGAGCCCACTGGTCTACTCCATGCAAGAATCTGGAGTTGCCCACAAGTCCAGTGCAGGAAGAGGTGGCTCTCTAAGGCAACCCTGCATGGGGAACCTTGCTCACCAGAAGTTCTGGAAACAAGGCAGGAGCCACTGCATGCAAAGCTTTGTCGCCTTGCCAGGGAACAAGAGCCCACCTATCTGTACCATGCAATCGTTTGGAATTGCCCACAAGTTCACCGCAAGTAGAAGTGGTTCCCTAAGGGAAACCCCTCATCCCATAGAGATCCATGCCTGTCTGGAAAGGCTTTTCACCAGAAGGTCTGGAATGAAGACACAAACTGCTGCATGCAAGGCTTCGTTGCCTTGCCAAGGGAAAGTGAGTCCACCTGTCTTTACAATGCCGGGATCGGAGTTGACATGACACCACTATAGCCTGGAGTGGCTCCCTAAGACAATCTGCTTCTTCCATAAGGATCCAAAACAGGATGTAGAACCCTGCTTACCAGGAGCTCTAGAAATAAGACAGGCAAGAGCCTGTCTGGACCATGCTGGGAATCCAGAGGTGCCACAAAACCATGACAGCACACATGGCAAACTTCAACTCTCCAGGTGCTTTGGACTTCAACTCCCATAAATCCTAACAGCCTAGGAATTGTGGGAGTTGAAGTCCAAACACCTTCCTATGCAGTGGATTCCTAAGGCAATCTCCCATATGGATCCAAAGTAGGATAGAGAACCCTACCTGTCAAGAGTTCTGGAAACATAACAGGCAAGAGCCTACCTGTTTGGACCATGCTGGGAATCCAGAGTTGCCACGAAACCACTATAGCCTGGAGTGGCTCCCTAAGGCAAATTCCCATAAGGATCCAAACCAGGATGGGGAACTCTGCTTGTCAAGAGCTCTGGAAACAAGGCAGGCAAGAGTCTGTCTGTCTCAACCATGCTGGGAATCCAGAGTTGCCACGAAACCATTAAAGTTGGCATGGACAAACATCAGCCCTCCAGGTGTTTTGGATGTCAATTCCCACAATTCCTAACTGCTGGTATGAAATGGCTCCCTAAGGCAATCTCCCATATGGATCCAAAGCAGGATGGAGAACCCTGCATGTCAAGCCCTCTGGAAACATGACAGGCAAGAGGCTGCCTGTCTGGACCATACTGGGAATCCAGAGTTGCCATAAGGATCCAAACCAGAATGGGAAACCCTGCTTGCCAGAAGCTCTGGAAACAAGACAGGTAAGAGCCTATCTGGTTGGACCATGTTGGAAATCCAGAGTTGCCATGAAACCATTGCAGGTGGCCTCCCTATAGCAACCCCTCCTCTCTGTATCCCTAAGGCTTCTAAGCCTACCTGCTCTGCTAAAGATCTGGAGACAGGAGCAGAAGTGCTGCAGACAAGAGCCAAGAGCAGACATGGGCAAACTTGGACCCTCCAGGTATTTTGGACTTCAACTCCCACCATTCCTAAGATCCCTTTCCTTTCCCCCCTCAGCCGCTTAAAAGGAGCCTGAGGCTGTCAGGCATGGTGGAAGTTGAAGTCCAAAACACCTGGAGGGCCCAAGTTTGTCCATGCCTCATACAGACCTTGTAAAATTACAACTTCCAGATTGCTTAAGCGTCTGGGGTGAGGGGAGGAAGGGGCCTGAGGCTGTTAGGAATGGGAGTTGAAGTCCAAAACACCTGGAGGGCCCAAGTTTGCCCATGCCTAATACAAATCTTGTAAAATCATAACTTCCAGAATGCTTAAGCAGTTGAGGAGGGAAAAAGAAGGGGCCTGAGGCTGTTAGGAATGGTGGGAGTTGAAGACCAAAACCCCTGGAGGGACCAAGTTCGCCCATGCCTTGCAAAATCACAACTTCCAGACTGCTTAAGCGTCTGAAGGGGGTGGGGAAGGATGGGCCCTGAGGCTGTTAGGAATGGTGGGAGTTGAAGTCCAAAACACCTGGAGGTATTTTCCCATGCCTGACCAAGAGCCCACCTGTCTGGATCCAGAGTTGACAGGAAACCACTGCACCCCTTAATCTGTAAGGCGGACCCATATATCCCAAAGCCTACCTGGGAAGCCTGCAGAGCAGAAGGTCTGGAAACAAGGCAGGAGTCCACTGCATTGTGGCCTGGCCAAGGGAGAAAGAGAAGGGGGGGGGGTTTCCCTGCAAGGCTCCAGAGGGGCCAGGGCGCCCCTGCAACTCCCTCTCCAAGGGGCATTCCCCATGCAAAAGGCTAGGAAGAGGAAGGAAGGAGTCTAGGAGAGCAGCGCTGGCCTCCCCACCTGGCGCCCCCTTTGCACCTGGAGCCCAAGGCAGCTGCCAACGCAACAGGTCCGTCCTCCAGCTGCAACGGAGGAAGGAGGGAGGGAGAGAGGGAGGGAGGGCCGGGCGTCTCCGCTGCAGAAAAGGGGGGGGGGAGGGAGGGAGGGAGGAGGGGAGGGGTCGCCAGGCGGTGGTGCAGCCCGGTCTTCTCCCCTCCAGCCCCGCCAACGCCACGGCTTTGCCTGCCTGCCTCCAGCTGCCTCCTCTCCCCTCTGCCGCTCCATCTTGACTTTTGCCGACGTGGAAATTTTGGGTTTGGAGACGAGCTGCGCTCTTATTGGCCAGCCGAGGGCGGGGTCGGGGGTCACGGCGTTCTGCTGCTGCTGCTGCCGCTGCTCCGCGCCAAGGAGTCTCTCCTCCTTCCCTCCCTCCCTCTCTCTCTCTTTTTCCTCGGCAGCGGCGGGGGGTGAGGCAGAGGCGGTGGCACAGCGGCAGGCGGGGCCACGCCCACCTCAGGAGGAGGGCGGAGGGAGGGGAGCTGGGAGGCGGAACAGCGAGAGGGAGGAGGAGGAGGGGGGAGGGGGAAGACCTGCGCGCGCAGGACCCCAACACTATTGCCTTGTCCCCCAATTGGGGTGGAAGGAAGGGGCTTATGCAAGGCAAGCTGAAAGGGAAGGTGGCCCAGGAGAAAGCGAGAGAGGATCATTTATTTATCTATTATTTCATTTTTATTATCCCCCTTTCTATTATTCTATTCTCTCTATTATTATATTATTTATTTATTATTTCCTTTTTGTTATCCCCCTTTCTATTCTATTCTCTCTATAATTATATTATATTATTTATTATTTCATTTTTATTATCCCCCTTTCTATTATTCTATTCTCTCTATTATATTATTTATTTATTATTTCCTTTTTTTATTATCCCCCTTTCTATTCTATTCTCTCTATTATTATATTATTTATTTATTATTTCCTTTTTTACTATCCCCCTTTCTATTCTATTCTCTCTATTATTATATTATTTATTTATTATTTCCTTTTTTATTATCCCCCTTTCTATTATCATTCTATTCTCTCTATTATTATTTATTATAATTATTTATTATCCATAAAAATTACTATTGTACATGAGCCCCCGGTGGCGCAGTGGGTTAAAGCCCTGTGCCGGCAGGACTGAAGACCCAACAGGTCGCAGGTTCGAATCCGGGGAGAGGCGGATGAGCTCCCTCTATCAGCTCCAGCTCCTCATGCGGGGACATGAGAGAAGCCTCCCACAAGGATGATAAAAGCATCAAATCATCCAGGTGTCCCCTGGGCAACGTCCTTGCAGACGGCCAATTCTCTCACACCAGGAGTCACTCCTGACACAACAAAAAAAACCAAACTATTGTACATCATTATTACCCTTCACTTTTATTATTAATACTGTCCGTCCCCTGCCACACGTTGCTGTGGCCCACTCTGGTGGTCATGGGGGTTCTGTGTGGGAGGTTTGGCCCAATTCTATCGTTGGTGGGGTTCAGAATGCTCTGTGATTGAAAGTGAACTACAAATCCCAGCAACTACAACTCCAAAATGTCAAGATTCTATTTTCCCCAAACTCCACCAGTGTTCACATTTCAGTATATTGAGTATTCGTGTAGAGTTTGGTCCAGATCCATCACTGAGTCCACAGTGCTCTCTGGATGTAGGTGAACTACAACTCCAAAACCAAAGGACACTGCGCACCAAACCCTTCCAGTATTTTCTGTTGGTCATGGGAGAACTGTGTGCCAAGTTTGGTTCAATTCCATCGTTGGTAGGGTTCAGAATGCTCTTTGATTGT